ACAGAAAAACTGTATTAAAAAAAAAACGAAAAGGAAAAAGTAATTACCTTTGACGGCTTGAAGGAGATTTGAAGATGGAGAACTACCTGAACTGGAGATCAAAAGAAAAAATCAAGAATTTATCAGAACTTGAAATAAAAAAAAAACCGAAACGAAAACGAAAAAAATCGAATAAATTAACAAAAAAATTACCTTAGGGTTTGACGGCTTGAAGGAGAGGAAGATTTGAAATCAGAAATCAGAAATCAGAACTTAGATCCAAAACAAAAATGAAACGAAAACAAAAACCCTAAATAAACAAACCGAAACAAAAACGAAAAAAATCAAAACGAAAACAACAAAAATTAACAAAAAAACGAGAATGTAAAACGAGAAATCAGAAATGTAGATCCAAAACACAAATGAAACGAAAACAAAAACCCTAAATAAACAAACCGGAACAAAAACGAAAAAAATCAAAACGAAAACAACAAAAAATAACAAAAAAACGAGAATGTAAAGCTAGAAATCAGAAATGTAGATCCAAAACACAAATGAAACGAAATTGAGCTTGAGATTCTTGAGAATTTCAGAACGAAAGAGTGAGAAACTGAGAAGTTAGAGAGAGAAACTATGACAGAGAGAGAAACGGCTGAATGAGTGAATGAGAATGGCTGAGAGAGTGAGAGTGAGAAACGGCTGAATGAGTGAATGAGGTTTAGGTTTTACTTCAGTTGATCTAACCGTCCATATTCAATCTCAACATCTAAGTTAGATCTAACCGTTCATTTTTTTTTTTTTTTTTTTTTAGATTCTAGAATATTCATCTAGATCTAACGGTCTAGATTTTCTTTGTGCTTTTCTAGGTCTTTTTGACCGTTTTTTTTAATTATTTATTATTATTATTATTATTATTGTTAGTATAATTATTTTTTAATATTATTATTATTACTAGTTTACTACTACTATTATTATAATATTATTATTATTATTATTATTATTATTATTATTATTATTATTATTATTATTATTAGGAAATTTTGATTTTTACCACCTACAAATAACGACTTTATTGAATTTACCACCTCCAAAAAAAAAAGATTTACTTTACCACCTCATAAAAAAATTAAACATCAGTTTTCCCACCTAAGCCTAACTCTGGTGACGGAAACCACCAGTGGGGCCCGCCATAACAGCTAGTTTTTGAAATTATCCCCAAATTCTCTCGATTTTCCTCCTATTTAAACAACCTTCTTCATTTCCACATCAAATTGTTGAAGATTGAAGTTTTTTTTTTTGCGATTTTCTTTACAAATCCTTAATTTGGGTAGTAAATGAGCCAAAGTTCATCTTATAATTTGCTTATAGCCTGGTTTTTGGTCTGATTTGTATCCTTAATGGCTTAAGGATTGCAAACAAAAACGTGTTTGATCTTATAAATACCGAATCCGTGGATGAGCAACAACAATTACTCGTACCTGAGCTGCTTTAATTTCTGTTTCCTGAACCTGATTGTTATATGACAGAGGTTTCAGAAAACAAACGGCGACGAAGAATAGATTCGACTTCTGGAAAAAAAATTGTTCTCGTAATTCGGAGGTAGTGTGACCATTTCTACTGCCAAATTTTCATTGAAGTTAATTGTATTTGAACACAATTACCATAATCTAACCCTAATTTTACTGCCTAATTGAAATATCAAAAACCCCCAAATTAATTTACACTTACATGAACCCTAATTATTTACAATATGAAATTGGGGTTGAATTAATAACAGAAAACATGCAATTTCAATTATACTTAGCAGTTGTAACATAATCACGCAAACAATTGCAAAAAATTACAACAGAATTCATGAAAATTGCTTACCTTTTCGCTGTTTGTCGTCGAACAGTTCAATTGATTCAGGGCCGAGTACAATCTTCAATAATTTGATAATTTGAGGATGTGGGATTGTTAAGGATCACCCAAAATCAGAATTTGTGAAGAAAATGGCAAAAAAAAAACTTCAATCTTCACGAAATAGATGTAGAAATGAAGAAGTTAGGTTTAAATCAAAGGAAAATCGGGAGAATTTGGGGATAATTTCAAAAACTAGCTGTTATGGCGGGCCCCTCTGGCGGTTTCCGTCACCGGAGTTAGGCTTAGGTGGGAAAACTGATGTTTAATTTTTGTATGAGGTGGTAAAGTAAATCTTTTTTTTTTGGAGGTGGTAAATTCAATAAAGTCGTTATTTGAAGGTGGTAAAAATCAAAATTTCCTTATTATTATTATTATTAGTTTATTACTTATAAGTTATAAATTGTAAGAAACGCAAATGTTTCAAAATTGAAATTGATTCAATACGACATAGTTAATGACTTAATGAGTTAATGGCTTAATGCTCATCAATATGACAATATCTGACATCTGTGAGTCTGTGATTGTATATCAGTATATATAATAAACTATAAAACTAATAATAACTTAATAAGTAATAATACTAATAACTAATAAAGTAATGAAAATCTAACCATTGTTTTTCATGGGCATTCAATCTAACCGTTGTATATTTGACTATTCGTACATTACTAACATTAGTATTGCATAATGCTTTCATCACCACTTTAATTAGTGATTTCGTGATTTCGTCCATTTAACTTATTAAGTTGTTTGAGTTAGTAATCTAAATAAAGTAACAAACTAAATAACGAATCCATTTAATCTCGTGTAAGTTATAATTTATAAGAAATGCAATGTTTGGAAATGGAAATTGATTCAATAAGATATTGTTAATGTATATGTAATTATATTATTATGTATATGATGTATATCATATTGTACGAATGTACGGTTGGTATCATTATCATACTATCATAAGTATCATTGCCTCATTGAATTATTGGTATGTACTAATCGATAAACATATTTAGTTATTTACATATCTGATCATTAAAACTTAAAAGTTTAAAACACTTGTTGATCAATCTAATTGAATACTTGTACATTCTTAATTATCGATTTATCGTATTATAAGTATAACTCATTAAATCATGGTCATGATTTCGTGATTTCGTCCATTTAACTTATTAAGTTGTTTGAGTTAGTAATCTAAATAAAGTAACAAACTAAATAACGAATCCATTTAATCTCGTGTAAGTTATAATTTATAAGAAATGCAATGTTTGGAAATGGAAATTGATTCAATAAGATATTGTTATTGTATATGTAATTATATTATTATGTATATGATGTATATCATATCGTACGAATGTACGGTTGGTATCATTATCATACTATCATAAGTATCATTGCCTCATTGAATTATTGGTATGTACTATAATCGATAAACATATTTAGTTATTTACATATCTGATCATTAAAACTTAAAAGTTTAAAACACTTGTTGATCAATCTAATTGAATTCTTGTACATTCTTAATTATCGATTTATCGTATTATAAGTATCAACTCATTAAATCATGGTCATGACGCGATCTTTAAAACAATCATGAATTCAATTCATGACCCAAACCGCTTATAAACCGAACCGACATGATCCAAACCGTTCATAAACCGAACCAATTGAACCGTGTAAACCCTCTACTAACCGGCCCATTTCAAACTGAACCGACATGATTCGCACCGTTTATAAACCGAACCGATATTGACCCGGGTAAATCCGCCCCTAAACCGACCCATTTCAAACCAAACCGGCTTGATCCAAACCGTTTGTAAACCGAACTGACATTGACCCGGGTAAACCCGCCCCTTAAACCGACCCGTATCAAACCGAACCGACATAATCCGAATCGTTTATAAACCGACCCGCTTATGACCCAAACCGAATTTAAACCGCAAAGAAATAAACCGAAACCAAACCGAGCCGTGACTAACCCAAACCGACCCGCCAGCTAAACTAAACCGTTTCAATCCGAACCGCTCCAAACCGAAACCGACTCAAACCGAGGTCAAACCGAACTGCCAGACCGAAGTCCCACCCCTACTATTAACACATTCTTTCCAATTGCTTCCTATGAATGAAAATTAAATAATAAACATCAAAACTTAATATGTTCAGAGCTGGTAAATAAAATCACGATTTTCACGGACTTTTGAGATGCTTGGCTAAAATATTGATAGATGTAGGATTATCGATCATAATACTAACATGCATAAAGAGCAAACTTTTCATTCTCTCAATAAAAGTATCCTAGTTTTGACATCAATGCCATCTCCAAAGACCATATCTTAATAATCGGCCATGTAATATGAGTAGCATCCTTAAAGGAAACACACGTTCCGAATGGTTTTAGATATCGATGCAGATCTTCGAGTATGAAAAAGGGAAGCTGATTTTCCATGAAAATTAAATCTCTGCTCAAGGAACCACATAGAGTTTTTGAAAACGATAGATAATAATATAGACATGTAACAAAAGATACATTTTAAGTGATTTAAAATAAAGTCTTTTTTAACAATTAATTTGAAACGGAAGAATTAAGTCAATTCTTGAGGGGTTTAGCGTTCAATTAAAGAATTTCAAATGTTCTTGCTTTATGTCCTACGCATTTTTTTTTTAAAATGTTTTTCATACGTATTACCCATACTTAATGATTAAAACATGTATCCCATATATATAAATAAATATTTTTTTAAAGACCCCCCAAACATATAAATATAATATATGTATTAAGGAGTGATTACTATTGCACCAAAAATCTATAAGTAATTTTAGGATTTTTTGTTAGAAACTACCTTATATAATTTAGATTTTGTGAGAAATTATCTACTAATAAAAAAAAATATTATATGTAATTACCTACTAAAATATAAAAAATATTGCAAAAGACCATATGCTAGATTTCCACCATTGACTTACTTCTCCAGCATTGACCACCCACATGCCGATCACATAACTTTTAAAAGTTTATTTTTTCCTTTTTTTTCTCTGTCCCACCAGCAGACAGCAGTGCCACCTTCCTCACTGACTGTCCCGCCACCACACCATTTTGAACTAAAGGCAAGGTTTTTAGATCCAGTGCAAGAAAAAAAAATCACGTAAAACTTCAAGTAGAACTTGTTAAGATATTGTCTCAAAAAAGAAAGATTGCAACTTGATATGTCACTAATCTCCGAATTGAAGGCATATAACATTGCATTAATGGATTATTACCAACAACAAAATACAACATTAATAAGTTACAATTACGATCTAATATCAAATTTACATAAAGTATAGCTAGGTTGCATCTTGAAAAAAAAAAAAAAAAAAAAAAAAAAAAAAAAACTCAACACCGTGAATATGATCAAGTATCTGATTTCATTGCAGTAGCTGACATGGCAACATCGGCAACAATCTTCAAAACAATCAGCATTGGCACTTGGACTACTTGTAGAGGTAAGATGCAATAGTCTGTAAAAGAGTAAGCACAAAAAGTATGATTGCAGCGATCACTGACAAAATTGTCCAAGGCTGATTGAAGTATTTGCTCCTCAAAATAGCCATCCATTGATGCCTGCGGGTTGAAGCGTAGCGATTCAGATCATCGCTGACATCGTAGTAATAATTCCTCAATGAATACATCACATTTTTGCCAATATTGTTGAAAAGCTTTACAACATCATCATCACTTCCTAGATGATTACTAATAATTTTGTTTTTAACTAACACTTGCACGTCTTCCACGGTGTCTATCAATTGATCAAGGAAGATAATATAATCAGAGAAGTAAGAATCTCGGTAATAACGGCACTGTTCAAAATAAACCAAGTTCCGCAGGAGAGATTCTGTGGGATCTTGTATAATTAATTTCGACATCCTGAGTATCCCGTTAACAAATGTAACATCAAGTGGATTGTCAGTTTCACCTGCCACAAATGTGACTCCTGCATCATTTAGTTGCTTGGCAGTGTAACAAAGATGACGACTAGAATGCTCACCATCAGTTTCCATCTTGAGATGACGCTTAAGCAGCCTATTGCATAATGATGACGGACAGATCAAAGACACCACCTTGTGTATGTATGAATCTGAATCGGCTGTTATTGGATTTGCATTTGGTTGCTTGCGCAATGGTGTGCTCAAAGAAAGGCAACAACACATCCTTTGGAGATCTAATAAATGTTGAATGTTTGATTCAACTGTAATTTTATTACCTTCAATAGTACTCTTGATAGCCTTAGTTCCAAGTAAATTATGAAATATGAATCCAAGAGTAGCATGAATAAGAGTAATAGGTGGGTAGATGTGACCAAATGCTATATCAAAGATTCCCTTGAGAACAAAATATGGAATTTGGTTCTCCAACCGAAATAAATCATTTAATATCGCGTAAGACAGTGGTACTCGTAAATTATTCCCAACTAAAGGTTGATCAAACGAGGAAGACCAGTTCATCAAGCAAAGGTAGACCAGGAATGCAGCATCAACAACTATCATTTCAACAAACTCGTCGGTAGAGAGATTAAATTCTTGCTCATAACATTTGCGGATTTCTCCTTTCTTATCCCTTACATAATCAATGTAAGGATTCAAGTTTTGACAAACATTCTTGGGATGTTGAAGGAACCTTTTCAAGTAAATCCATTTAACCTTTTGCATGGGTTCTAGTTTTGGATCTTTATAGAATACGGGACCAATTGACATCAATAAAGGCTGATAAAAATATTCATACCCCTTCAAGAAATATTCAGGAACTTTATAAATGCACCAATTCTCGTTAAAGGAAACATTCAAGGAGTCCAGCTTGTTATGCATTGATCGTTGTAGAGTGTTGTTTTTCATCTGTATTAATCGTAGACTGTAAGTATTGTCTAATTTGTTCAAATAAATTTACTCAATATATCAAAAAACTCATAAAAAATTTGTTCAAAAAAAAGAAAAAAATCATATAAAAGGAGAAACTATATAAGCTCAATGAAAATATTTTGAGTAATTAAGTTAAATAAATACCAGGTTTAGAAAAAAGGACCAATGTAAGGGATATAAGAGCGATTTTTCATCAATTATAGGGAGAATAATATATATGGGGAAAACTAAATTAGACAAACTTAAAAAAGTAAAACAAATTATACTAAATTGAAAGCTTGTTTTACATTCATAATAATTTCTTAATAAAAAGTAGGATAACATATTAAAATACTCAATACTTAAATTATATAAAAACGGTTGTGGGGACTTACGGCAAATTGCAAAGCTGTAGCACCAATTGATTCAACACGTGCACTGCGCCTCGCAAGGTACCCCGAAGAGAGTGAGATAAAAAAAAAAAAATAAAAAAAAAATTGAATGAAAAATATTTCGTAAGTTTTTAAACTATTACTACTTTACTAGTAAAATGTATGTTATTCTTTGCCTCGGGCTGGTTTACATTTTATACAGCGAGCTTTTCAGCTTCTGCTTGACATTATTGTTTTACACCTAAAATCAAAAGTACTCTATCTGTTTTTTTAAGGATTACACTTTGATCGGTATATAATTTTTGAAAAATTAATGGACTTCAATATAAGATATTGTAAGAAGTATTTATAAAAAAATTATGATAAAAGATAATAAGGTTAATATTTTATTAAACATAAATACTTATATGTGACTAGCCACATGGCTAGTGTGGCTACTTCACCTATAAAGTGTTTAATTACATATTAAGGGTTACAATGATGAGGAAACGGGGTTACCTTGATGTATAAGAGATTATTTCAATGGGAAAATAGGGTTACTCTCATAAAAAAGTCCGTTATTCTTTCATTAGTCATAATAAAAATAAATAAATAAAAATTGAAAGAATAGGGGTTACTCGAAAGAACAAATGGGGTTACTTAATTTTTAATTACTTGATATTACTCGTACAATATATTTGGGATACTTATATAGACAAATAGGGTTACTCTTATGAAAAAATGAGGTTACTCATCCAAATAAATAATAACTACTCTTATAGATCAATGTGTTCATATTGTGTGGCTAGCCACACACAAGACTTAATATTTATTGAAATGTAAGGAATTTGAGAGGGAAGTAAATAATAAAAAAATAGTAGGGTGTTTAAGTAAGGACCATGAGATGAGAGAAAATTAATATTTAATTGAGTAAGTTGCTAAAAAAAGATGTGTAATACTTAAAAAAAAGACCATAAAAGGAAAGTGTAACACTTTAAATAAATGAACGCAAAATTAAAGTGCATTCCCTCCGTTCCTAATTAATTAATACGTTTAACTTTTTCTTTTTACTATTAAATACTTATTTTGACCATCATTTTTAGTAATATAAAAAACAAGTTGTATCATAAAATATATTGTTAAATAGATATTAATATAAGTATTAATATTGTTAACTACTCTGTAATATTTGATCATGTAGTCAAACTAGTGCGTTGACATTTGCGAGTTTGACTATGTCAGTTCTAGGAATAGAAGGAGTAACACAAAATAAAATACGAAGGGAGTAATAATTTTGTGAAAAATTTTCCATCCAAAATGTTATTATTTTTTTTTATTAAATTCCATTAAAAATATGAAATTATATAGAATTTTAAGTGTAGATATTAAACACATTTAAATTTTTTTAAAAAAAAGGAAAAAAAGAGTTGCCTAAGTCATTTAATTTCAATCAATTCCATTTTAATTGATATCATTATTAATAAATCTTTATTACAAATTCGTGCATTGCACGAGGCTAAAACTAGTATTTACATATTTCCAAAGCAACCGTTTTTATTTACTAAATATATTTACATTATCACAAAACAAAAACTCTCTCAGTATATTATTACTTGATTCATTTCTCCATATGCAGAGTTTTAGGAAGAGTGAAAGTAATAAAATATGGAGGAAGTGAGGTTGGTGGAAGAATAAAGGAGTGCTTCTAGGCGCATAGGCGATATTTACTTGGTTTGTAAATAGGAGTGCAAAGGCGTAAATTCGCAAGGGTTGAGTTAAATGAAGGTGAGCTGACTTTTGTTTGACCCCGTTTCATTTTTGAAAAATAACAAAGTACTATGTAGTACCATTAAATATTGTATTGGTAAATAGTACCATTAAATAGGTAAATAATATCATTAAATGTTGTAGTGCTATAAATATTTTTCAAATGGTACGAATAAATATGTGTATATCAAATATTGTATCACTGTAAGATTATTTTTTTTTCTCTCAATACCCGCATAATAAGTTACTGAGTAATAAATGTAAAAAAGTGACTGAGGAAAGAGTAGTAGTGTAGTACCGAAACAGATGAAGCAATAATAATGTAGATTTGTAATTTTGTAAGTTGTGACTCAAAGACATCTATACTTGGATTCTGCACTTCGTGTGCTCAAAGGATGGAGGAAGGTTGAAGACAGGTTGAAGCCGGGGTAGAGGATGAGGTTGGATATTAATTTTTGGCCCTTTAATTTTTCTTTGATATTAATGGGCTGTTAATAAACCATTATTGACGCTATATCTTAAAGCCTATTAATGACCCTGTCCACTAAATAATTAAAGGGTCAAGACCCTTTAAATTTTGGCCCGATCTTATTATCAATGGACAGCCCTATCCATTAACCACGTTGTGAGTGAAGGGATAAGGTTTGATGAACGGATAAACTTTGAGTGATGGTTGTGAGTTGCAAGTGAAGAAGGGATAAGGCCAACAAAAACCATCGAATCGGAAGAATGTCACATCAAATTAATTGGAGGCCTGGCAAGGTCCAAAAAGTCTTCCAAGTACGGAGAATGAAGAAGAAAGTCACTCGTGGTTATAGCAATTGTTCATTTATGGGAAAATATTTTGGGTAGACTGGGAAGATATTTTATGTACGCAGACTGAAATTTAGGCTGTTCATGGTCTGATTTGGATCCCAAATCACAAAATTAAGGTTCGTATTAATAAAGGGGTGGATTATAACTAGTTGAGTCAATCAAACATAGGGTTGATATAAAAAAGTAAAGCAAAAAATTCAAATAATAAAACATCTAGGATTAAGTATCATTGTTAGCATAATCAATATAAGACAAATTTCTACTCCAACTAATCAATTACATGTTCACAAGAAAAGGTACGGCTTAATAATACCAAAGGTACCTTGATATGATCAAGACAAAGGAATAATAACTATACTCATAATCCCTAATCTAATATTAACATAAGCATGCACCATCAATTAAGAATGAACACATAAATATTTTATTGAGAATTTAAATGAATAAATCAAATATCAATCATGGCTAGCGTTCAACTTAAATCAAGAATTTGGGAACTACTCACGCTATTAACAACAACAATAACAATAATTACAGAAATATAATTAAAAATTAAAGGAATTAAAGAGAATAAGAAAATACCGAATCTTGAATTACAATTAAAAATTAATTCTAAAGAGAAAACAAAGTCTAAAGTAATTAATCATGAAATAATAAAGCCAAGGAGTTTTTATAATAAATAGGAGTTTAGGATAAATAAGGAAATCAAAATGGGCTAAACCGTCCAAGCACTGTGGTGCTTTTAAATTATACCCAGCTGAAGGGGTACATCAAACTCGAGCAAAGTTTTGCTCAAGAAGAAGTAGATCAGGAATGCAGCATCAAGCACTATAATTTCAACAAACTGCTCGTCAGAGAGCATAAGTTCTTGCTGTATTAATTGTATAATGTAAGTATATGTCTAGTTTATTCAAACAATTTTACTCCAAAGCATAATACTTATCAACAAGTATTGAACTTAATGAATAATATATGGAGTAGACTTTTCCAACCCCCAATATATACGAAGCACGCATAGCAATGATAATATATGCTTCACCTAAGACGGAGTAGTTCTTATACCTTTCAATCTTTCATCAAATTCTATTTACCTCAGCTGGAAACTTAATTTTAGTTTTGTGTTTAGGGGGTTGATTTAAGAAAAAATTGGTGGGACTAAGGCCATATTTTTATTCCATAAAAAATAATACTCTCTTCGTTTTTTTTTTTTTTTTTTTTTGTTACCTTTTTATGTCTTATCATTATTTATAATAAGATGAGAAAGTCTTCTTAATTACTCTAAATTTATAGAACCTAATGTAACCATATTGAATTTTACATAATTCATCTAATTGAGCAGTTTATTAATATTTCGTTGTCAAAAAACAAATTAAGATATTATTTATGTCAAAGTAATGCATTGACAATGTACACAGTTAAAATGAGAAGAACATTATAAAATAGGGAGAGTATTTAATAAAAATAATTAAAGTAGTGAAATAGTTACTTCAACCAAAATAAGTTAGATTTAGTTTCTAAAAAAGTTTTGATTTGGTTATATAAATAACATTAAAAAACAATAATAATGGATTGATAAAAATAAATTATAATAGGTGAAATTTATTTAACTTCATTGAGAACATGCCTTGTTAACATCACCTTAAACTTTTTTTTTTTTAAATTTCAATATAAATAAATTAAGTTTAGTGAAACACGTCAAATTCTTCAAAATTGTATTTATTAACTTCTGTAAAAGTAATTTTAATCATTAAAAATCAACAAAATAAAAAACCAAATATAATAGAGTAATGGTAGGAAAATAGTTAACGATCATGTTGGAATATAGATTTTCTTCAAATTGATGTTAGAACAACTGCGTAAGTAATAATTTAAAGCATCTGATTTAAGGTTTAAAAGATGTGAGTAAAATTTAGAAAACCTGATTCAAAATTTTGAACATACGATTAAAATTTAGAACATTTAATTTTTTTTAAGATTAGAACGAGTGATTAAAAATTAAGAACATATAATTTAAAAACTTAAAATACACAATATTAAATAAAAATTATATAAGTTTGTTTCAAAAAATAAATAAATTATATAAGTAAAAATTTAGAACAACTAAGTTAAAATTTAAAACATGTGAGTAATAATTTAAACATCTAATTTAACTCATTAAAAATTTAGAATATGTAAGTAATAACGTTAAATTTGATTTTAATCTACTCATTTAAGATTTAAAATATGTGGAATACTAGATTTAAAACTTAGAATTAACATAGAAAGTGTTCTCATATAAAGAAGGGGTTCGTATTATATATACATATAAAGGGGGAACGGCCATAGCAGGATTGGTTGAATAAAAAAAGTATGTGATGATTATAAGAATCATGATGAAGAGAAGTGCGTCACAAATTCCAAAAATACAAAATATTGTAGATATATGTGCAACAAGTGCAATTGTACAATGAGAAGTGCTCCGAAAGTATGGCATTGGTGATAATGTGCACCAACATAATTGTGTCGTTGATGAGATGTGATCTGAAAAAAATGTTGTAATTTATTTCAAGAAATATGCCAAATTATTGAAAGAAAGAAAACTGTATTGTTGTTACAACCCCCCAATTTCCATCGAGATCAAACATGAAATCAGACAGTCATAGTAATCCAATTTGAAGAAGGGTGTGTTGGAATTTTTGCTTTAATTGTTTGTGGTTAGTTAACACCTAATATATAGAAATATGCATGCTATCCTAAGTTATTAGTTTGTGTTAATGAAGTCAAAAAAGTAGTAGTGGATTAATGATCATAGGATTATGTTTCTAACTTTTTGCTTAGTTTTGCTATATACTTCATATATGTTGCTATGTAGACATGTAGTACGTTTTCAATGGATTAATATAATATACAACTTACTTTATATTATTATTTCCCTTCTCATCTCTTTAGTTATAATTCAATAGCTCAACTAAAGTAATTGAAGTAATTTAGTTAAATTGTTTCCAAAAAAAAAAGTAATTAAGTTAAATTGATACCTGGTTAAGAAAACAGGACCAATTTAAGGAATAATAGAGCAATTCTCCGTCAATAATAGGGAGTATATTACGGGGAAAACTAAATTAAAAAGTAAATCAAAGCATATTAAATTCCAAACTTATCTTACATTCATATTATTTC